CCACGGGCAGCTGCCGCTGGACAATGGCGAGCCAGCGGGCAGAGGAGGTGTGTGGATGGAGGAGCCTCTCAGATACCATGCTTGGCCTGCAACCGGCTTCCTCCTTCCTTGTTCACAAAGCAGCCTCGGCTCTTGCTTCGTGCCCCTTATTCCAGCCTACTTTAGGTCATTCCCTCTCACCCCCTGAGCCCGACCCCAGATGAATTCTGCAGAAAGCGCTGGCGTCGCCCCTCACCCCATAATCCGGTGGGAGGAGACTCCGCACAAATCGATGGCTACATGAATATTTTATGGCTGTGGACACCTGTGTTCCCTTGCTGTCTGTGTGCTCCTGGCCCATTCCCCCAGGATTTGAGGAGCTGAGGCGAGCGTGGTGGCACTTGCGCAAAGCGGCCTCCGATGTGTCAGCTGAGCCATCGGCAAGGGGTGAGCGAGCAGTAGGATGGAATTCAGAGATGCCCAGCACCACACTGGCTGAGCTCTGTGGAAGGAGCTGGGCATGCTCCAATGGGGCTGCAGCCCTTCCCTTGGGATCAGAGGCATGGCTCAATCCACACTGCCAGGAACATCCTGGTCCACTGAGGATGGCCAGCTTTGTGAGTCTTGACTGAGAGTCTGCCTGCTGCACGCTCCCTGCTGCTCCTCCTCCAGGGCTACAGGTCTCCTCCATCCCTCCATTACTCTTCTGCCATCCTGACCTGGGAGCAGTCCAAATCAAATTTGTTCCCCTCTCCTGCCTTGCCGTGTCCAGCATCAGTTGTGTCCTGTGGCCTGCCTATCTCCCTTGTCCTGCCTACAACACAAGGCTCCCCACAGCAGCCCCCAAGTGCATTTATAATACTTCCTCTCCCACCAGTAACCATCTGCATCCTCCCTGGCCCACCCATGACCACTGGAACCTAACTGGATTTCCTCTGAGATGGGCTTAGGCTGGGGAAGAAGCGAGCTTTCCTCTTTGTCATCTCCTTTTTAACTCTTTTCCTCTTCTCAAGCAGATGTTCCTTTGCTCTGTCTCTGACTAGGGAGGCTGAGCAGTGGCAAACAGAGCTTTTGTCCAGGGAAAGGAGGGTAGGAAGGCTTGCCTCATGGGCAGGCAGAAGAGATCCCCATCTTCCAAAAACCAGCACTGCAACAGCAGCTGGTATGGAACAATGTGCCTGTCAGCAATGCTACCAAATAAACACCCAGGGAAAAGAGAAGGACAGATGGACAAGAGGGATCCCAGTCAAGAAGCTGGTTTTGAAGCAGCAGTGACAGTTCCGGCTCGGAAACCTCCCAGCATGTGACTTTCAGCCGCTGCTGACTCCCTTCTTCCTGCTGCCATGTCCTGTCACCCGCCCCCCATGCTGTCACAGCCTGCCCATGTGCCTGGCAGCCATGCCAGCATCCTCCCCCTCACCACGGCTGCTTTAGCCCTCCCCACCCTGGCACCTGGGTGAGCAGGGTCGGACTGGGGGGATCTGCTGCTGCTGCATGCAGCACAGGTGAGAGCAGCACCGCAAACTGGGCAGCAAGTGCCTTCCAAGCTCTGCTTGGCCCCTCCTGTCCGGCCAGGGAAACCCAGCAAGTGGAGCTGATTAATGAAATGCCAGTGGAGGAAGGCATTGCCATCCATCAGGAAAAGCTTTTTTTACCAGCAGACCAGCACAGCCCTGGAGCAGGTGGTGGGATCTCTCTCTGTGCTGGTTCCTGGGGCCCAGCTGTGCAAGTCCAGTGATGTGAGCTAGTGCTGGGGCAGCCTCATTACAGCACGGACTTACAGACCTCCAGCACCTCTTCCCACCAACATCCTGCTGCCTCCTGGACAGGAGGCAATGTGCAGCCTCCTTTTTTCTCCAACTTTGTTTGCTTAGGATACTTGCTGGGGTAAAGGATTCCTACTGATGCAGAGGGTGGCTGGGGCCAAGGGCCAACTTGTTCTAGTTGTTCCTGCAGAAGGCCAGAAATTAGAGACAATCCTGCCACCCAGGGGACCACAGCACTCCTCCTCTGGGCCTCAGTCTCACTGCAGCACAACAGCACCTCCTCCTCATCTTCCCCTTTTGGTTCACCTAACACCTGGCACTTCTCCAGACCCTTCCACTTCTCCTGCTCCCACTTTATCAGCTCAGGGTCAACAGTGGCACTGCTGGGCTGCAGCTGCTGACATGCAGAGCTGCTCATTGCAGCTCTTAAAATCATTCCTGTAGCCAATGTGAAAAAAGTCACTTACTTGCAAACATGGTGGTATTTATCTTCCATGGATTTTAAGGCCAAGGAAGAAGCACTGCATTTTCTGACCCTGTGCAAAACAGACAGTGCAAATTCCTATACTTCAGATCAGGTACTCATGTGGGACTGTCTCTAATTGCTGACAGCACAGTAAAAAGAGATTAAGTCTCTACCACAATTCTCCATGGGCAAATCAAGGTAGGTTTCCAGCTGCAAGCCCCTATTAAAATCACCTGTCTCCTTTGCCTTTGCCCAGCTGTAACATCCATTACCAGGCTGAGATGCTCCTCCTCTCCCAGATCTCAGAAGCTCTTGGTAGCTAACACATCCTCCTTGCAAAGGTTCTTCACAGGTGAAACCTGTCCAGATCAGCCCCACAGCTTTCACAGAGGCTCCTTTTGGAAGGCACAGCTCTCCTTGGTGTGTCTGTACCCCATCTCCCCGCTCCCCTTTCCCTCCAAGTACCTCAGTGGTACTTTGTCCCTTGCACATCACTGCTGAAGTATTTCTGTGTAAACTCTCCACGTCTTCCAAGATTCTTCACTAAAACTGACCCATAAAATAGCTTCTATCCACAACCAGAGGGAGGTGTTGCAATGCACACGTGACTTTTGGGCCTAGCAAAGTCATCAGCCCAGTCAGCTGCCTGGATTTGGGTGCAGATATGGAGGAATTGGTGCAGAGGAGAGTTGCCAGCAGCAGCTGGTTGATGGCCCCATGTAACACACAGAAATGTTCCTGTCTAACAGCAAAGGAGGGAATGCATTTTCTTCTAAAAATATACAAACACCAGTCCAGGAGGGAGTTTTGGAGCCTGGTCTTCAGGAGAAAGCAGCTCTAGGCAGTGCTAGAGCCCAGGACCCAAGTGACTTTACCTTCCCAGCAGTTCCCCCCGACCCCATCAGGCAGGTGGGACTTGCAGACATCCTCCCCAGGAGCTCTCCACATCCTCCCCAGCAGGGATGGACAGCCTGGGGGAGCAAGATCCACTGATGGGACTTTGGCCATTGTGGATTCAGCCCCTGCAGAAGTGTCTGTATCTCTGGGTGTTATGTGCAATGCAGTGTGTGCAGGAAGATCCAGATTTCATACCCAATATGTCCCTGGAATGTGCAGGGCAGGGTTTCAGCCCCTTCCTCAGGATACAGGCAGACATGAGGCAATGCAGCCAGAGGCAGCATGCCTGGCCCAGAACAGACATTACAGCACATGACATCACTGGAGTCAGTGACCAGCCCTGTCACTGCTGGAGTCTTTCCATTACACACTCTTGTCCCCAGATGTCATTTTCCTCCCTGCACCAGCCCAAGGGTGCAGCAGTGCAGGGCTGCCTCTCCCAATGTGCTGCTGGAGCCTGCAGGGCAGGAGCTGCCAGCTAGCTGTCTTCTTTGTGCCCTGATAAGGCTTCCCCAGTTTGGGGAGAAGGACAGCAATGCAGCACAGAGGAACAGGTATCACGACTCCTCTCAACAAGCTTTTAATCTGTGACAGCATTTTTACCCCTCAGATCTGCTTTCAATCCATGCTCTGCCTCAGTTCTTGCTTTGCTGCATCTCAGCTCCTGCAAGCCTCATTATCAGCAGC